TGTTGAGCACCTCGGACTCAATACGGACCTCGCCTCCAGGAAAGCTCCAGTTGTAATACATTTTGCTGTCGAAAGCATGACACTGTCTCCGCTGATTGGTACAGCCGATACCTTGAAGTCTATTTCCTGTCCCACCTTGGCATATTGTGGTACGGCCCTTGCCGCTGTTTTACACTGCTGCTAAGGCATATAGCGAAGCAGAATTGAAACATTCTTGTACACATCCTGAACAACTTAACACGCATCGTGTAGTGTTTTTCTTGGGGTATGTGTACTGATGGCTTCATTCAGCTTATTGCCAGAAGTAACAAGGTTTACATGTTTCTTCCTTGCCATCACCAAAATCAACAATGATCTCAATGTCGGTGTTGTTATTTACATGACTTGTTACCTCAGTACAAAACTTTCATTAATAACTACTCCTGCTGGCACCAAAACTTTCAGATCTGTAACGCTATAGCCTGTTTGACATGGACACCAAGTCCTGCAGTGTCGGAATGGGTGCCGCATGTCATGTTGACAGTAACCCTATGGAATCCAGTAGATTTAAATGTTAGCTTAATCGTTGCTGTTACGAGTCCCGACCTCTGTGCCATTCACTAGGAAGGTGTAGGTGCTGTCTGAGCTGCCCTGTGTGTACATCACCTGGAAGAACGGGGACGCCAGGCTTAATGAACGGCTGACATGGATCGGCGCATCCACTTGGTGTCTGGCAGCTCTCGTGAGAAAGCTGAAGTCCCTGTATCGGCATACATGGACCAAGGGAGACGGAATATGTCTTCTCCACAGTACTCACTTTGTTTGATACCTTCAGTCTTAGTTCTGCTGGAGCAGTAAATGTGTGCTGTATGAAAGTGAATGGTTTCACAAGGGACGTATCGTTGGTTAAACACTTCACCGATGAGTTGTCCACACTAGGAGGGCAGGTTTCAGTCAGGGTCATATTATTGGTGACATTCACGCCCCCAATTGTCCATTCATATATCAGATGGGACCCACTGGTAACTTTGGCAACCAGAGTGGCAATGTCATTGAGCTCGACTTGTATGTTACCGAGACAAGACGCGGATTCACCCACACAATCTGGCCTAATTCTTCTACTGCTGTCACATTGCATGTCTGAATAGTGCCACTGCTCTGTACCTTGTACTGGAAGGTGTACAAACCAATCTTCAGGTAGCTGGCCAGTTGGGATGGGAGTGGGACTGTCTCTGTTTTGGAGTAGAAGGCATTGATCATGCACAGTTGATGTTCATCGGGACTGATGGATGTTGGGATATCACTATTTTCACCCGCCACAGTTGGTACTGAGTACAGGAGATGACTCCACTGAGATTCGTGTCCGTGAATGCACTTGATGGGGCTGATATTTCCCTGATACAACACACCAATGAAACTCCCAGGTTGAACTCTAATGCTGGCCTTCACTTTGTAAAGGAGAGGGCTAAGTTTGGGATTTGTGCTGATGTGTGGCCGACACTTGTATAGACCGGTTAAAGGCCAGTGATCTATAGGGTTCCTGCCACATGTGATGCTTCCGAGTGGGCACCGCTGCAGCTGCAGGCTTGACTTTGAGTGATACATTCATTAAACAAGTAGCACATATTGCCGCTGGAACAGCCTGATGGTCGTCCGATGCAGCTGTTGGTTTTATTGTCGCAGGAAAAGAACTGGTTCCCTCCACAACCTGAAAAGATAAACAATCTTGTCACATTGTAGGCAACAATTCCACAACAGTGTGTGTAACAGTTTATGTTACAATGTATGTAACAATCCTACAACAGCACATGTAACAAACTATGCAACATTTAAAGAACTGTGCATGAAACAGTGTATATAACAGTTTAGGTAACAATGTATTAACCATCCTACAGTGTATATAACAGTTTAAGAAACAATGTATTAACCATCCTACAGTGTATATAACAGATTAGGTAACAATGTATTAACCATCCTACAGTGTATATAACAGTTTAGGTAACAATGTATTAACCATCCTACTGTATATAACAGTTTAGGTAACAATGTATTAACCATCCTCTAGTGTATATAACAGTTTAGGTAACAATGTATTAACCATCCTACAGTGTATATATAACTGTTTAGGTAACAATGTAGGTAACAATGTATTAACCATCCTACAGTGTATATAACAGTTTAGGTAACAATGTATTAACCATCCTACAGTGTATATAACAGATTAGGTAACAATGTATTAACCATCCTACAGTGTATATAACAGATTTAGGTAACAATGTATTAACCATCCCTACAGTGTATATAACTGTTTAGGTTACAATGTATTAACCATCCTACTGTATATAACAGTTTAGGTAACAATGTATTAACAAACCTACAGTGTATATAACAGAATAGGTAACAATGTATTAACCATCCTACAGTGTTTATAACAGTTTATGTTACAATGTATTAACCATCCTACAGTGTGTATAACAGTTACAATGCATGTAACAATCCTAGAACAATGTATGAAACAATGTAACCATCCTATAGCCGTGTACATGATAGTGCAAGTAAACGCCCCATGATATTGTATGTAGCATGAATGTGATAGTGTAAACATCCCTTAACAATGTAACAGTTTTGTATCAGCATATGTAACTAGGTGCCTTGACATACACCTCATCAATCCCTTTAAGTGACACAACACCCCAATCAGACCCACCCTAGAGGTACAATGCATCAATGGACCTCAACCTGGTGACACAACACCTTCGGGCTCAGGGAACATAAACAAACATCGAGGGTACATCAACCCATGGGCCCCGAGGACCAGTGAACAATGTATTTATCTTACCAAACACCTCAATGGTAATTTTGAACTGTTTGAAGCATGGGTATCGAATCATAGCATGGAGCACCAGACGACAAGAGTTATCTCCCTTCCATTAATTTGCATTGGCAAAACTTCGATAATTTCCGCCATTACATCATAATGCGGATTCAATGTTATTCGAGATAAAGAATTACTACTACAAAGCGCCAGCGGGATACATAGAAAATGTTACTCGCTTATAAGCGGGGTACACTGAAAATAATAGAAGAACGCTCAGCCAATCAGAAAACGACATTTATGTGTGAGGCAAGAAAATACGCCAATTGACCTCAACATGGTGACACAACACCCCAATCAGACCCACCCGGATTTACAATACATCAATGGACCTCAACCTGGTGACACAACACCCCAATCAGACCCACCAGGATTTACAATACATCAATGGACCTCAACCTGGTGACAACACCCTAATCAGACCCACCCGGAGGTACAATACGCCAATGGACCTCAACCTGGTGACACAACACCCCAATCAGACCCACCCGGGAGGTACAATACACGCCAATGGACTCCTCAACCTGGTGACACAACACCCCAATCAGACCCACCCGAGGTACAATACGTTAATGGACCTCAACCTGGTGACACAACACCCCAATCAGACCCACCCGAGGTACAATACATCAATGGACCTCAACATGGTGACACAACACCCCAATCAGACCCACCGGAGGTACAATAAGTCAATGGATCTCAACCTGGTGACACAACACCCCAATCAGACTCCACCCGGAGGTAAAATACATCAATGGACTCCCAACATGGTGACACAACACCCCAATCAGACCCACCCGAGGTACAATACGCTAATGGACCTCAACATGGTGACACAACACCCCCAATCAGACTCCACCCGAGGTACAATACATCAATGGACCTCAACATGGTGACACAACACCCCAATTAGACCCACCCGGAAGAGGTACAACACGCCAATGGACCTCAACCTGGTGACACAACACCCCAATCAGACCCACCCGGGAGGTAATAATACATCAATGGACCTCAACATGGTGACACAACACCCCATTCAGACCCATCCGAGGTACAATACGCCAATGGACTCCTCAACATGGTGACACAACACCCCAATCAGACCCACCCGGATTTACAATACATCAATGGACCTCAACATGGTGACACAACACCTTCAATCAGACCCACCCGAGGTACAATACATCAATGGACCTCAACCTGGTGACACAACACCCCAATCAGACCCACCCGAGGTACAATACATCAATGGACCTCAACATGGTGACACAACACCCCAATCAGACCCACCCGGAGGTACAATACGCTAATGGACCTCAACCTGGTGACACAACACCCCAATCAGACCCACCCGGGAGGTACAATACATCAATGGACCTCAACATGGTGACACAACACCCCAATCAGACCCACCCGGGATTTATAATACATCAATGGACCTCAACATGGTGACACAACACCCCAATCAGACCCACCCGGAGGTACAACACGTTAATGGACCTCAACATGGTGACACAACACCCCAATCAGACCCACCCGGAGGTACAACACGCCAATGGACTCCTCAACATGGTGACACAACACCCCAATCAGACCCACCGGGAGGTACAATACATCAATGGACCTCAACATGGTGACACAACACCCCAATCAGACCCACCCGGGAGGTACAACACGCCAATGGACCTCAACCTGGTGACACAACACTGCCGTTAAGGCACAGGTATATAACTCACCTGGCTTGTTTTCAATGTCTGTTGTGCAGTTAGCGTGTAGATGACCAACTTGATGAGGGTGTCAGCTGGCAGTGATTCAGCCCTGAAGGTGAACCAGAGAACCTTGCCACTCACAGTAAACCAGTGACCTGAAATAATATTGAAATACACTACACAAACCATTCCAGTGGGTGATGATCTTAAGACGGCAGTTCATTCATTATGATAGTGCTGTCAGACTGATTCAAAGGACAACCTGTGTGATGCAGGTCCCGAAGTTTCAGCAAAACACATGAAGCATTGTTCCAATAGACCAAGGATCATTCTTAGGACTGACGACTTTACAACAAATGAAGACATCTATTGACACAATGACAGACCTGGCATGTACATGAGGCTGTATGATAAGACGGCAGCATCGCTAGACGAGGCTAGCTCTGTTGTTGGCTGACCCACATCCTCCATCTCCAGACTACCAGCAATGTGTACCTCCTCACCACCACATCTGGAACACAGGAAATCTACATGCAGTGAAGAAAAGACAACGCTAAATATGGCTGATGGGAGGATGGGGGAAGTGGAACTGTCAGAAATATAGTGGAAGTAATTTAGGAAAACCAGTGAAGGAGTTATTGATTGAGTGAGTGAGGGAGAAACCAGAAATAGGCTACAGACATTGTTACCAATGGAGAATTGATCCCAGGTCAATCAAAATCAACACTGTACTCACGAGTCTACGGGAGATAACTCTCATTTGTGTTTTAATTCTTGCCAGGTGTGCTGTTTTCGTAATTGAATTGTAATAGTCAATTACCATGCTCAACATGACTGATTAGAAGCTGTATACCACTAATATGTGGTATTGCTGAGTTGAGTGACATCATTCAGTGCAATAGTGAAACAGAAGCCTTGTCAATTCTTTTATCAGGCATTCAGAAAACAAGTTACAGTTTTTAAGCAGGCCTAATTTCTTTCCATTTCAAGCAAACATAAAAGAAACCAAGACCTTGTACTTGGTCAGCTAATAAAAATGCCACAGAAAACCTTGCCATGAATTAAAATACAACAAGCATTGTCACTAAGGTGACATAATCCCCCGTCGCAAATTATCAAATCAAATTTAAAAGTAATGAAAGTGAAGGTCGGAGGTTTAAGATGAAGTTAAATGTCGACAAAAACATGACCAGTCAACCTCTCTTGATAACATGCTCTGTAGCTGTTCAAACACACAAATATTTTCAAGACTCACTTTGATCTTGACATGAATGTCATGGTGTATGAAATATGCAAAAGTAGTAATAAAGAAATTACTTATCAAAAAACATTCAAGAGAATTCTTGAAAGTCTATGAAGAAAATCCAGTGAACCGACTTCTTGAGATAGCTTGCTCATAATCTTAACATGCAGGTTAACATGCTGAAATCTTAAAGGTGTTGCTGTGACCTTGAAAAGTATGTGAAAGTCACCAAAATCGACTGGGCCCTGTGCCTTCCCTAGATAAAGCTTAGTGTCAAATATGAAGAAAATCCAGTGAATGGTTCTTGAGGTATCTCACTGACAAGCTTAACATGCAGGTTAACATGCTGAAATCTTCAAAGTGCCACTGTGACCTTGAAAATTACGTGATGGTCACCAAAATCGACTGGGCTCTGCACCTCCCTACATGAAGATTGGTGTATGAAAAATCCAGTGAACGGTTCTTGAGATAATGAGTTTAGTTTTACGCCGCTTTTAGCAATATTCCAGCAATATCACGGCAGGGGACACCAGAGATGGGCTTCACACATTGTACCCATGTGGGGAATCGAACCCGGGGCTTCGGCGTGACGAGCGAACGCTTTAACCACTAGGCTACCCAACCGCCCCTTGAGATATCTCACTGACAAGGGTAAAACGTTAAAGCTCAATGAAGGTCAAGATCAGCAAACCTGACTGGGACATGTCTCATACTGTGATGAACCTAGGTACCAAATATGACAAGAATCTAGTCAACGGTTCTTAACATATTCCAATTTGTGCATACTGACGGACGGACAGAGCCTAATACTATATCCCCCGCTTCGTGCTAAACACGCGGCGGGGCATAAAAAGCTAGTGTACACAAACATGAACAATATTAAACATGGTGTCAAGTAATTCATGAGCACTATATAATGATCAGCTAATTCAAACACAATTACAGCATTATAGGCCGCACTGCAGATCCACTATGGCGATATCATGTGTGTGGACTATTGGTGATCAGTTAATGGCAGGTGGGATTGTAATTAGACAAGAGTTAACTCTGCTCACCGTTTGGGGTGTATTCACATATGAAGCTGTGTTTATCTAAACAGCCATAAGTGTCAATGATGTCATCATCTGAAAGGTAGCCACACTCCATCCTCAGACCATCTGTAGAGCCACGGAACAGGTTACCGGTTGTCCAGACATAGTTGTCCAGTGATGCCGATTTGTTCAGTCCGATCCAAGCCTCGCTGACAGACCTAAAACAGACATCCATATCAAATATGTCCCCCTTTTACAAAGAGATCCTAGTGCCAGTACTGTTGTAAGTGTAAGTTCAAGCATATGAATTCAATGTATTGATTGCTGTACACTAAGTTGATTGTTGTACAGTATATTGATTGCTGTACACTAAGTTGATTGTTGTACAGTATATTGATTGCTGTACTCTAAGTTGATTGTTGTACAAAATAGTGATGGCTGTACACTAAGTTGATTGTTGTACAGAATAGTGATTGCTGTACTCTAAGTTGATTGTTGTACAGTATATTGATTGCTGTACACTAAGTTGATTGTTGTACAGTATATTGATTGCTGTACTCTAAGTTGATTGTTGTACAGAATATTGATTGCTGTACACTAAGTTGATTGTTGTACAATATATTGATTGCTGTACTCTAAGTTGATTGTTGTACAAAATAGTGATGGCTGTACACTAAGTTGATTGTTGTACAGAATAGTGATTGCTGTACTCTAAGTTGATTGTTGTACAGTATATTGATTGCTGTACACTAAGTTGATTGTTGTACAAAATAGTGATGGCTGTACACTAAGTTGATTGTTGTACAGAATAGTGATTGCTGTACTCTAAGTTGATTGTTGTACAGTATATTGATTGCTGTACACTAAGTTGATTGTTGTACAAAATAGTGATGGCTGTACACTAAGTTGATTGTTGTACAGAATAGTGATTGCTGTACTCTAAGTTGATTGTTGTACAGTATATTGATTGCTGTACACTAAGTTGATTGTTGTACAGTATATTGATTGTTGCACTCTAAGTTGATTGTTGTACAGTATATTGATTGCTGTACTCTAAGTTGATTGTTGTACAAAATAGTGATGGCTGTACACTAAGTTGATTGTTGTACAGAATAGTGATTGCTGTACTCTAAGTTGATTGTTGTACAGTATATTGATTGCTGTACACTAAGTTGATTGTTGTACAAAATAGTGATGGCTGTACACTAAGTTGATTGTTGTACAGAATAGTGATGGCTGTACACTAAGTTGATTGTTGTACAGTATATTGATTGCTGTACACTAAGTTGATTGTTGTACAGTATATTGATTGTTCCACTCTAAGTTGATTGTTGTACAGTATATTGATTGCTGTACTCTAAGTTGATTGCTGTACAGTATATTGATTGTTGCACTCTAAGTTGATTGCTGTACAGTATATTGATTGCTCTACACTAAGGTGATTGTTGTACAGTATATTGATTGCTGTACTCTAAGTTGATTGTTGTACAATATATTGATTGCTGTACACTAAGTTGATTGTTGTACAGTATATTGATTGCTGTACACTAAGTTGATTGTTGTACAGTATATTGATTGCTGTACTCTAAGTTGATTGTTGTACAAAATAGTGATGGCTGTACACTAAGTTGATTGTTGTACAGTATATTGATTGCTGTACTCTAAGTTGATTGTTGTACAAAATAGTGATGGCTGTACACTAAGTTGATTGTTGTACAGAATAGTGATTGCTGTACACTAAGTTGATTGCTGTACAGTATATTGATTGCTGTACACTAAGTTGATTGTTGTACAGTATATTGATTGCTGTACTCTAAGTTGATTGTTGTACAATATATTGACTGCTGTACACTAAGTTGATTGTTGTACAGTATATTGATTGCTGTACACTAAGTTGATTGTTGTACAGTATATTGATTGTTGTACTCTAAGTTGATTGCTGTACACTAAGTTGATTGTTGTACAGTATATTGATTGCTGTACTCTAAGTTGATTGTTGTACAATATATTGATTGCTGTACACTAAGTTGATTGTTGTACAGTATATTGATTGCTGTACACTAAGTTGATTGTTGTACAGTATATTGATTGTTGTACTCTAAGTTGATTGCTGTACAGTATATTGAGTGCTGTACACTAAGTTGATTGTTGTACAGTATATTGATTGTTGTACTCTAAGTTGATTGTTGTACAGTATATTGATTGTTGTACTCTAAGTTGATTGCTGTACAGTAATAATGTCACTTCAACACTAAATATCAATTCAGTTTGTGATGAAGCCCATGGAAGTTTACTTACTGGTTTTTCATGATCTCTCCAAGAAACAGTAATAGTTGATCGTCCTCGATGGTGGCCAGTGATCCCCCGTGGGTGACACTGCAGTTAGTCTTGGCCGACTCCCAGTCCTTCAAGTCAGTGTAGAGGATGTAGCAATGGTGATTGCCACTGTATTTGTCCCCCAGCAGGCAAGGTGTTGAAACTGACAAGAAAACGTTCACGTGATACAACATATTTCCACCCTGACTACATCTACATGTTTGTATGGTCATTATCCCAGAGAACCAGGACTGAAATCTCCAGGTTTGTTGCTTCAAACAGACAATTCTTGTGCTACACAAAGTATGTATATTTTTATTGTATGTTGCGTAACACAATACTGTTTCACGCCATGTAGCAGCTATATCAGAAACAATTACATCCGTGCCAGACAAACTAGTGTGGTAGACATTACAAGGAATGTCTGATTTCATTAGGGTATTATCAGGGTTTATGTGAAGAAGCATGTATCCAGTTCGTATAAACATACAGACTGGACACACAAAAATGGCTATATATTTCATCCCGACGGAAGCACAACCAAATTAATTGCACCAAATTCTTGACAAGAAATATATGGTTCCTCTAGCAAAAATAATTACTAATTCATGGGGTTTAGTACTCTATACCATTACAGCACCCTGAAATTTCCTTGATCCTTGAAATTAGTCATTGGGCTTCCTGTGGGACCCTGGTTTGGGATGTTTAAGTCAAACGATGACATACAGTCAACAAAGTCATCGAGCCTGTCCAGCCAATCCACTTTTGACAAGTTATAGAGTGATGGAGACCAATTATACAACTAACACAGCTCATATGAACATGTCTTTATGTTTATTTTCTATAAAGTAAAACTGAAGAATGAGGACTATTTTTATAGATATACAACTTCTTTATTCTATATAGGCGACGTTTCAACATAGATTCTAATGTCGTTGTCAAGCAAGCTGATAAGCTATGACATGGTTGATCTTTTCACCAATGTCCCCTGTGAAGAAGCCCTCGCTGTCATCAAATCCAGAGTCAAAGAAATCCACTCCACCCTTGACACCCACCTTTCCCCTGACAGCATCAATGAACTCATCAATGAATGCATCAGTTCCACCTACACCACTGGCTTGACAACGACATTAGAATCTATGTCGGAATGTCGCCTATATTGAATAAAGAAGTTGTATATCCATAAAAATAGTCCTCATTCTTCATCTACCCAACTTCTAGAATGCCAATCAAAGAAGTAAAACTGGCCACATCTAAAACTCCGAAACAAACTTAAAATGGCTATTAGAAACAGTTTGTTATGACATAAATTTACTGTTCGCATAAACAATATCATTGTTAGAGTTCTTTTCAGTTTGTCCTTTATAGACATTTCGCTAAAAGGAGAAATTGTAAATTTGCTTTCTTTTCCCCTCATTTGTTGAGTTGTGCATATAAAGGTATTTAATATAGTTCTAGGTGTTTCATTTACTGCTTATACCATTGAATTCCAGCTCGCAAATTTTCAGCTAATGTTGTTCTATGCACCCCACACTAGTAACTATACATATATGACCTCTGCAGAATGTTACTCCTTACTGATGATTCATAACTCTGGACAATTTCACCTTAAAGGATAAACTGGGCTTCAATACAAGACAATACATGCTGGCAATAAAACATTGCGATCGAAGAAAACTCAGTGATACAGAGCATATTTGCTGAAAGGCTAAATGTTATATATTACCTGTATCAGAGCCCTCTAAATGTTATACATTACCTGTATCAGAGCCCTCTAAATGTTATACATTACCTGTATCAGAGCCCTCTAAATGTTATATATTACCTGTATCAGAGCCCTCTAAATGTTGTATATTACCTGTATCAGAGCCCTCTAAATGTTATATATTACCTGTATCAGAGCCCTCTAAATGTTATATATTACCTGTATCAGAGCCCTCTAAATGTTATATTACCTGTATCAGAGCCCTCTAAATGTTATATATTACCTGTATCAGAGCCCTCAAATGTTATATATTACCTGTATCAGAGCCCTCTAAATGTGATATATTACCTGTATCAGAGCCCTCTAAATGTTATATATTACCTGTATCAGAGCCCTCTAAATGTTATATATTACCTGTATCAGAGCCCTCTAAATGTTATATATTACCTGTATCAGAGCCCTCTAAATGTTATATTACCTGTATCAGAGCCCTCTAAATGTTATATATTACCTGTATCAGAGCCCTCTAAATGTTATATATTACCTGTATCAGAGCCCTCTAAATGTGATATATTACCTGTATCAGAGCCCTCTAAATGTTATATATTACCTGTATCAGAGCCCTCTAAATGTTATATATTACCTGTATCAGAGCCCTCTAAATGTTATATATTACCTGTATCAGAGCCCTCCTGTGCAGTTCTGCTCCAGACGATCTCAGAGTTGTAGCCATAGGTAAACCTGGAATTCACAGATGCCGGCTCCGACAGTTTCACACAATCCTCACACCACAATTTCCCATCATCATCCAGACTGGAGACCTTCATAGAAGTATCCACCTCACCACAGCTCCCACACTCAGAGCAGCACAGTTTTATCTTCAGTTGGAAGTTGCCCGGATACAGAAATGTATGTGACACTGATGTCAAGGACGTTGTCACAATATGGCTGCCATCTCCGAAGTCCACCTCCATGGTGTCATACGTGACGTCCCATTGAAGAGCCAGGGTGACGGGAGTTCCTATGACGACGGGAGATGTATAGTTGACCTTGATTCCCGACATTATACCCTTGGCCCCTGCGATGATTGTATAGGATTCTTCACAAGCACAGGTGCAGTTGACATTGACGTCACCACAGAAACAGTCATTATGCATCGTCATTACAAAGTAGGTGTAGTTTTTGTTGAAACAGAACTGGTGGCACTCTGTCAAGTTGCTGGCCTTCCGCTGCGTGTTGTAGACGACGAACCTGGACTGGGAGGCCTCCTGGACACATGTGGCAGACGCGAGGCTGCCTGTGTAGCACAGAGTAAACACATAAGTCAGTTCTCTACAGCACAGGCATCACACATAGAACAACTAGAACATGGATAAACAATATACTGGTGAATTCAGTACTGCCTGAGTCTAGCCCTGCCGCTGTTACCGTACTGCACACCTAAGTTCATGAACTTTAACAACAGCTAATAAAACTGTTTGTAGAGACTGATTTAACCAACCCAATACTTAATACCAAAATCACATGTTTAAAAATGCATTTATAGATTTGATATAAATTAATTTACCACAAATTTCATCTACCATGAAGCTGAATCAATTTACCAGTATTCAAATTAACTGACAAAGTCAACCCACAGATGGATTCAGAAGATATTGAAGAATGTCTACTTGTCAGTAACAGAAGCAGCACATATGTATCTTAAACACCATACAAAATATGGACTGTTGATATGATAACACATATGGTCAAAGAGAATTCTGGTACACCCAACACACTTAAGGTGCATATGATCTAAATGCTCAATACTGATAAACACACACACTGGCAGTGTCTCTATCTATAACATGATAGGATTTCTAAAAAACAATAAAAAACAATCTGATGATGTTTAAAATGAGGAATGGTTTAAGTCTGATGACAGTATGATAATGGCACGCTTGATATTGGTATTATATGAAGTGTATATATTTATTAGAAGCCTACACCACAAGACGATACATGGCACTGATTCACAATGACCATCTGATTGAATATTGGTGTAATGGAGAGGAACTTCTTATCTTGTCATTTGGTGTAAGTCCAAGAGTGGATCAGTGGGTCAAAGGACCAATGGGCCTATTACCATTCTGGGTTGGTTTGGTTGGTTTTACAAAACATGTCAGATTATATGTCTATTTTTGATGTTTTGGTTTACCAGGGTCAGCAGATCCTGTACAAAACATCACCCAAATAAATATGTTTTGAAAGCCTACAGAGGATCTAAGGAACTTGAATATGTAGGGATGACCAGCAGATTCTTGAACAGTACTCTACTGACTCTCCCCTCAAGACAAGGTATACAAGATACCATTCAAGTTACCTTTCTTGTTATAAATTCTCAAGTTTCCATGACAATGACAAAATGACATGGTTCCAACCAAAACGTCTAGTCAGCTGAAAAAGGACCTATCTGACGCACAAAGACCTTTTGAGTGATGATACCGACAGATGTGTCACTCCTACAGACTCAGATGAGTTTACTGATGTCATGAAAGTATCACAGCCTCACAGAAATCAAACAGAGTGAAATAATTGAAACATTAATGGAGTGGGTGAGTGAGTGAGTGTGTTGGGTATAATGTCCCTTTACACAGTATTCTAGTTATATCACACAGTGTCAGCGTGAGGTGGGAGGGAAGTCTGAAGTCATGTCAGTTTCAGCTTTGAGAAACCCATGACCACAGGATTCAAACTCACAATCAACAGTTTCTGGCAAATACAACGGAAACTTATTCTTTTCATTCAATTAAAATTCAAAACAAGTGAGTGAGTTATACGCTGCATTTAGCAAGATTACAGCAATATCACGGCAGGGTGACACCAGAAATGGGCTTCACACATTGTACCCATGTGGGGAATCGAACCCGGGCCTTCGCCTTCGAACGCTTCAACCACTAGGCTACCCCACTGCCCCTCAAAACAACTAATTAAGGAACATCAACAAATGTATTTATGGCAATAAACAACCAACCCAAATTTGGAAGTGTTGTGATGATTGCTGTGAAAACATGTGATGAAATAGTGACTCTCCGCTACTATACATTAAAATAAATGTTAGATAACTACAATGACATGCCTACAAACAAAGGCATTATACATACAGGCATGCACATGCATGTGGCATATGTAGGCATATGCAGATACATGGGTGATGTCATAACAAGGGGCACATCAGGGGTTAAAGATGGAACAGATGCAAGTAAAGGAAGAGCTATGGGCAGATAATAACAACTAACTTTATCAAGGCACTTAACAGAATAACAACTAAGATTACCACTTGGCATATTACATACTAAGTCTATGGTGAGGGTACACTGGCATTTCTATACAACAAATTATCTTTAACACAATTACTTTTCAATAATAAAATATTTGTTTATTTCAAATTTATTATCTTATACATTTAATAAATGAATTGGTATATGAGAATGAAAAATGAAACTGTAAATACTAATTTCCATACAATTAACTGTTTCACTACACCCATGTACTGCTAGACTCACCACTGATGTCAGTTTTGTCTGTAGCCGTGTGTTTAGGGTCATACTCAGGATCGTCTGGAGCTTCTCGTTTGACAAGCTTATGGCAGCCTGACGCTACAGAGTTAGCATTGAGATTAGTTGTATGCCAGCCGGCACCACCTATCCCACATAGCAAGCACATAAGACAAGTTCAAGGACTAACAAGGACCAGTGCAATGTATGAAAGTTTTAACAATGAAACGTTTGGCTTCTTCTGTTAGGGGTTTCAGCACAGAGTGAAGCTAGGGGCTTGTGTTGACCTCCTTATACTGTTTTATTCCTCTACTTACACTCATACTAAGTGCAAATGACCACGTGAGATGTTTTCATGGTTGGTGCACAGTACTGTTTATCTTTTACAAGTTTAAGATATCTACAAAACTGTCTTAAAGTATTGACTGATCTGGGAAAGTCAATGTCCACCAAATCATATAACACTTATTATCATAAAGAAAATAGAAAAAAATCTGTTGAGGAATGTAGACACTGACATCTGACACATAGCTGTTAGGAAAACACTGTAGAATAGTTGTAGCTCGGTGGAGTGACAAGTCCAATACAAAATAACATTAGGGAGCTGCGAGAGATATGAATACCCCAGCTAGACCATTAACAGTGTTAAAACAATACATACCAATAGATAACTCAACATCATGCACCCTTCTTTCATGGGCCGGATAGCCATGTTTTCTGCCCCTTTTCTAAGTAACTGATGTGATCCCATTTTCCCATTCCAGAGAGTTATAATGCCAGACTCAACCGTGTCAGTTAGACCTACATCTATTTATTATGGTCGCCTAGATCAACAGAGTGGAAGGTCTATCACATGTAACCAATGGCCTAATTGTGGCTATAACAGATTGTTATCATTACTTCAGACGTTGAGCAAACAGAGCATATAGTCCTTGTTATGTCCCCTTGCTTAGTCTCAGCAGAAGAATGATACCGTCTCCCTGACAACTGGCTAAATGACAAATGGGCTGAGCTGGGAAGGCTTTAAAGAGTTTGTTGGGGAGACACTGATAGGCTTATACAGAGATTCTGTGGCAGGGAACTGGAGGGTGGGAGTTCCCATACTATAGTATGCTACTCATGGACCCCATAATACAAACAGGGTCCATGTACTAACTTGGAACTAAGGTTGAACTGTACATTCATCTTACACCTGATGTCCATATAAACACGTACAATATCCATAACAAAAATACCTGGAAGGGAAAGGTGGAATTTGGCTTAACAAAAAACAAGATGGACGTCACATAACGAGTATTCAAAATCAATGGTGAAATGAGAATATACAGGTTCTCAATTTGAGATTTGTAAGCAGTTCCTGCACAGTTTAGGTGCTCCTCAACTTGTAGAACTACATTTCACTTGAAGTCAGGGATCTTGAGTAGCAGAAAGAAAGCCAAACAAAGGTCAAGGACAAATTAACACGACAGGACAAGGGGTGGACTTTACTAAACAAATGATGTATATATGGGTCAACACAGGGTCAAAGTCAGTGAAGACATGAAGCATTTTTCTACTTTAGCAGACAATAAACTTGTGTCTTGTGTGCAAGACCTCTAGTTTTCAAATTTCAACTGTTTAGAATTCTTCAAGTTGAACAAGTGTTTTTTACTCGGTCTCTGGACACATGACACAAGAAAAACAACAGGTGAACATAACATGTCTACATTTGTGGTCACTCTATGTATTGAGACAATCATGGTTCATTCTTTGTATCATAAATTGATATGTGCAGAATACCAACTTTTACCTTTTGTAGGCATGAAAATTAGGTATTATGTTTTTCTTCAAAAGTCCATTTAAGTGTGTCTTGGTTGGTGTGGTTAAATACCCAGAAATATTCTAACCAAAAGTTATAATTTCCACAATATTATTTGAGTGACCCAATACATAGATATTCAACAAATGTATACAAATGGAGGCTTTGAATAAATAAACATGCATATATGCAAAACAACAGTGGCTTATAACATTTAACACTTGCAGATAAGGAAAAGGTAGACTACAAAATTGATCTGAAGATATTTTAGTGCCCAAATGCCCATTTGATAACACAGATATATGTTAAACTCATAATACACCATACACCTTAATAAAACTTTCCTGTACAAAATGTTAAAACATACCATGAAGGACAAGTGTGTCTAACTCATTCAGTCACATCACATCACCAGATGACTTGTTTTGGTCCTGTGGTGTGTCATGTCAAGAGACATGGCTTAGAATCCAACAACGGCTCAGTGTTACAAATGGTATGGTCTGACCAAAAAGGTTTCGGAAGCAAAAACCAAATTTCAATTGAAAAGGATGTTACTTAAAAACTCTTGAAATATAAAAACAAATATTAGTGATATGGTAACTTTTGGGTCACGGGAAATATATATATTTTAACAAGCCTAAAAAGACAGTAAATATGGATTTCCTTTCACAGTCATTGTCCTTCACGTTATGCTGAGAAAAATACCCAGGATCGAAGTGCAACTGATTCTCTGACAGTATAACATACTTCAAAATGTTATTTAGACTGTATTGAAGGTTTGTTTGAGCCTTGAGGCTTGCAGAGAATAAGTTGCCTTCTCTGATCACACCTGCTTCATAACCAACCCCATGTTATTGTATTGTAACGTGTAACCATGTAGATATTACTGAATCTCAAAACAAACAAGCCAGTATATCATCATGTTCACAGATTCTTGTTGACAAATTAGGCAACAATGAAATACTGCAGTATAAGTGTAGTTTATCAACACAGTGATGGTGTCTCAGTTGATCCACCATTTTAGAAAGTTCTATGAAAAAGTATTCAACATTTTGGTTCCAGATAGACTACTCTCAAATACTCCTAAAATTCCATAAATTAATAAATGTCTGTTTTATATGAATATTACTACCCATCCAGAACAAATTATTTCATCACAACAGAGCATAGCCACAATGAAAATACAACCCTGCTGTCAATAGGAATCTGTGAATATAACAAGTAAAGTCGTCTACTTCAAAATAACCATCAAACTGCTATTGTTTCTATATTTCAGTGAAATATAAATAGATACAAAAGATCCCCTTCGTAAGCCAACATTGGCATATATGTCAGACTTACAAGAAAACTTGGACCTGGACACATCCATAAGGGCTGTATCTGGGTGTTTGGTGCAGCGGACTTGGTCCCGGTCCTGGAAGATAGTCTGCCCTTTCTTAACATTCATCCGATCACGCAGCCATTGTAGAGAGCAGTCACAGTTCCAGGGGTTGTCAGCCAGCCATCTGCAGCAAGTCAAACAAACCCTCATGTACGTGAATTAAAGACAAATTTATCAGCTTGAATTACTATCAGTTCCAGGGGTTACAAACTACAGCAAGCCAAACAAACCCTCATGTACGTGAATTAAAGACAAATTTATCAGCTTGAATTACTATCAGTTCCAGGGGTTACAAGCTACAGTAAGTCAAACAAACCCTCATGTACGTGAATTAAAGACGAATTTATCAGCTTGAATTACTATCAGTTCCAGGGGTTACAAGCTACAGCAGGTCAAACAAACCCTCATGTACGTGAATGAAAGACGAATTTATCAGCTTGAATTACTATCAGTTCCAGGGGTTACAAGCTACAGCAGTCAAACAAACCCTCATGTACGTGAATTAAAGAATCGTACGTGAATTAAAGAACGAATCTGTCAGCTTGAATTTCTATCAGTTCCAGGGGTTACAAGCTACAGCAGTCAAATAAACCCTCATGTACATGAATTAAAGAATCATGTACGTGAATTAAAGAACGAATCTATCAGCTTGAATTTCTATCAGTTCCAGGGGTTACAAGCTACAGCAAGTCAAACAAACCCTCATGTACGTGAATTAAAGAACGAATCTGTCAGCTTGAATTACTATCAGTTCCAGGGGTTACAAGCTACAGCAAGTCAAACAAACCCTCATGTACGTGAATTAAAGAACGAATCTGTCAGCTTGAATTTCTATCAGTTCCGGGGGTTACAAGCTACAGCAAGTCAAACAAACCCTCATGTACGTGAATTAAAGAACGAATCTGTCAGCTTGAATTTCTATCAGTTCCGGGGGTTACAAGCTACAGCAGGTCAAACAAACCCTCATGTACATGAATTAAAGAATCATGTACGTGAATTAAAGAACGAATCTATCAGCTTGAATTACTATCATTTCCAGGGATTACAAGCACACAGCAAGTCAAACAAACCCTCATGTACGTGAATGGTTAAGGTCTGTTTGTCTGACTATCTGGCTGTCTGTCTGTATATGTGGTAGTTATTTACTTAACTCACAGGAAATATATTCTGAGAAAATTTAAGAAGAACAAGTGTTTGCCACTGATATGGCAATGTCCCCCGCCGCTAAAGAATGGAATATATATATCTACTACTTTTTATTTTTGGGTCACATACAAGATGCCTGAAATGACTGGTGTCTGTATTATCACCCAATGTAGGCTGTCAACATACTAGTACTTGAAAACATCGGGTGCAATGTTTTATGAGATATCACGTTTAAATAAGTTTGAAAAGCGGTCAAAGTGTTGTGGTGACCATGAAGATAAGGTCAAGGTCACCCAAATAAACTGGTGTCTGCGTAATACCCCAATGTAAACTGTCACAAAATTTGAAGACATTGGGTACAACAGTCCATGAGATATCGCGTTAACAAGAGTTAAAACTGTGAAAAGTGTCGTGGTGACCTTGAAGATAAGGTCAAGGTAACCCAAATCAACTGGTGTCTGCGTAATCCCCCCAATGTATGCTGTCACTAAATTTGAAGACATTGGGTATGACAGTCCATGAGATGTCGCGTTAGGAAGAGTTTGAAAAGTGTTCAAAGTGTTGTGGTGACAGTGAAGATAAGGTCAAGGTCACCCAAATAAACTGGTGTCTGCGTAATCCCCTAAAGTAGGCTGTCACCAAATTTGAAGACACTGGGTACTACAGTGCATGAGATATCACGTTAACAACAGTTTGAAAAGGGGTCAAAGTGTTGTGTTGACCTTGAAAATAAGGTCAAGGTCACCCAAATCGACTGGTGTCTGCGTAATCCCCTAAAGTAGGCTGTCACCAAATTTGAAGACATTGGGTACAACGGTCCATGAGATATCGCACTAACAAGAGTTTGAAAAGTGGTCAAAGTGTCGTGGTGACCTTTTTGAAAATAAGGTCAAGGTCACCGAAATCGACTGGTGTCTGGGTAATCTCCACATGTAGGCTGTCTGCAAATTTGAAGACATTGGGTACAACAGTTCATGAGATATCGTGTTAATAAGAATCGGGACGTACGTTCGTACGGACGGATGCCGCTGAATACATAGTCCCCCGTTCCGCGTTGCGGCAGGGGACAACAAAAGGTCAAACTATAATATACAACAACATGGTTATGTGTTGGAGTGTAATTATTGTAGGAACAAGCGTGTGAAGTTTCAGCATCATTGGTAAAGTGGTTTCTGGGGGAATTTTGGCGATATTCCTGTTTTAATAAAAATGGCCACCTGGCAGCCATACACAAATTCCAGTTTTGAAGCTTTTCAACAAAACTAAACCTCCTGTATAAAGTTATAGCCTACCATTCGGATTTGCAAGGAATCAACCTTGCCATTTTTGGAATATACAGAGTTTATGTCATGACACTGATGCCAACGGCTGGGGGAGCTAAAAATGACAAGCATAATACAAATTAATACTTACATTTTTTCTAAGTGTTTAAGTTCATTAAATTCACTCTCTAACATAGTTGTGAAGTTGTTGTTGTTCAAATGCCTGAAAGACAAACAAAGATAAATAAATAAAAACCAAATATATTAGTTCTCCATCTCCATTGTGTTTCCTATTATATTGTCTAAAAAGTGACAGGCAAATCTGGAGAACTCTTATCAATACTTCATAGAGTGGCCTGTGTACTTATGTATGTATGAGAGAGATCTGTGCTAGCAACAAGGATGAATTGCTTACAGTTCCCTAAGGTCCGTGCTATGAAAAAGGGTTCCTTTGTCAATGTGTGATAAGTCATTCCCAGAGATGTCCCTGAAATACACAAGTAACTTCAACAAATCTATTTACATAACAATAATAATAATACAGTAGATTTGATATGTGCCAAACTTCCAGGCACTTGGTGTCTGCTCATGGTGTTTCACAAAATTAAAAAACACTGCGGTAGAGGTGCTATATTTTATTTTTTTAAATTTATTTTTTACATCCATATATTTTACCCATAAAAACAATAAGAACTGAAACACTCTTCCACCCTTTAAACCGTGATCCAGTGCATCAGGATACACTTTTCTTTGGTATCGTATCAGGACATACATTTAACAAAATATATAATTTTTGTACTGGTTTAATGACTACCACCCCAACTTTCAGCGTTTTTCTCAGTCAAAGTGTGTTGTAATTACAGTCCGTTTGAGACAAAATGTCAGTCAGCAGTAATCACATGTCTCTGTGCTTTTCGTCCTTTAGTTGCCAATGCGCCCTTGTAACAAACTGGGAAAACGCACAGATAAATGATGACAGTTTCTTAAACAACTTTTTTATTTTTGTGCCACAAATTATGCATTGGTCTGTTGTTTTTATTTCTATTTGTTTTTGTGTTAGATTGCAATTCATCGGTATCATGTTGTCTCAAACGGACTGTAACCTTTAACGTTGAATGCTTAAACAGCAATCTTTCCTTTGGAATAAGAAGTTTCCACATTCCTGGATGTGAAGTTGTATATCCTGATACAAACTGTATCAAACCTATGTATCCTGATCAGTGTGCAAAATAGCCACTGGCCCTGCTAGCCCGTGGCTAGTAAAAATCCAGCCGGGCCAGTAAATCTCCACAGTCACTGGCCTGACTGGCTCGTGAATTATCATGGGTTCATTTTTTAAATACAATACTGTCTCCGACTTGTTAAGTTATAATACACTTTTAAATCATGCAAGATTATAGCCTGATAAATGATGGTATTTTCCCTCTGTGATATTTTGCTTAGTTTCTATATTCTGATTTCGGGTTTGTGAATTATTTTGTGGGCTAGTAACTTTCAGGTATAGCTAGCCCGACTGGCTGGCAACATGTGGAAACTATTTTTTCCACTGATCCTGATACATATCATCTTGTAATCTTGCTGTATGGTCCCTCTCCCCAAATTGAGAGGTACTAATTACACCATATGATGGATCTGAACTCAAATTACAGTAGCTATAGGTTTATCTTCCAGTATCTTTTTTTTTTAGCTCTTCACTGAAACTAAATGTTTTTAACATGCTGTACTTACAATGTTTTCAATTTCGTGAATACTTTGAGGGCTTCAAAAGGGAAGTCAGCAAAGTGTGAATCGGCTAACCGGCTGTCAAAACAAGAAACATAGCCCCTTCACATCCATGTTTGTAAAATGACCATGTTCAACAATATATGTATGAGAAGGTGTTAACTTACAAACTCACTACTTGAAAAATTCATAAAAATATTTGCAGTAGTTTTCTGTTAGACATGACTACTGGGCTAATGGCAAACTATTGAGCACTGATGCCAGGCTATTGTGCACTGATGCCAGACTATTGTGCACTGATGCCAGGCTATTGTGCACTGATGCCATGATGCCAGACTATTGTGCACTGATGCCAGGCTATTGTGCACTGATGCCAGACTATTGTGCACTGATGCCAGGCTATTGTGCACTGATGCCATGATGCCAGACTATTGTGCACTGATGCCAGGCTATTGTGCACTGATGCCAGACTATTGTGCACTGATGCCAGGCTATTGTGCACTGATGCCAGGCTATTGTGCACTGATGCCAGACTATTGTGCACTGATGCCAGACTATTGTGCACTGATGCCAGGCTATTGTGCACTGATGCCAGGCTATTGAGCACTGATGCCAGGCTATTTGCACTGATGCCAGGCTATTGAGCACTGATGCCAGGCTATTGTGCACTGATGTCAGGCTATTGAGCACTGATACCAGACTATTTGCACTGATGCCAGACTATTGTGCACTTATGCCAGAAATTGAAGCTCGAAAGGCCAACTTGACATGAACCAGGTGTTAACTAGTAGCACTAAAAACTTACAAATCCTCTACAGAAATGTCGTGGTCATCATCAAAACTGAACCTTTCAATTGGATTGTTCGACAAGTCCCTGAAAAAAGAACATTTGCCAGTGAGACTAAAATGGACAAAAAGCCAGACCACTCACAGATATACATTGTGTATTTCATACACTGTAATCAGTTACCACTCAGCCTGTCAAGGCCCTTTGGGGTATCATAAACCATGCCATGTTATGAAAACAGTTTACTTTCCTATAGAAAAGGAGCTGTTTTAACCAAAGCAGGTATTATGCGTGAGTGTGTAAAGATGCTCTGCTTTATAATAGCAAGTCAGCTGACAAGGGAGGTAAGCCTGGTGTAGTATATGTTGGAGGTGGAATATACATTGATGAAATTAACACAGACCATGGCTAATCGTCAAGGTAAACATAGGAGCTGAATCAAAAATGGATCCTGAAAGGTTCACAAGAGTGAATTGCACTCCAGAGCACTGCACCATCAATGTCACCTTACATCCTAAATGAAACTTAGAGTTTCATAATATCCAGTCTATTGTGAGTCTTATAACGAATCTACAGCATCAGAGTAATTTAAGTGAAGGACACAAATTGAAAGAAGAACTGCACAAAATGGAACAGCCTTTTACACTGGTGTCACCTAGCAGATTATTTCCCTTAAAGTTGAAATATTTCACCTCAGATGTTTGGTATCTAGTTCTCCAGGCAACATGAACAGTATAGAATTCCACAACGAAATGTACTCACAAAATTTTCACTTTGGTACCATGGAGATAGGAAGTATCAATTTTCTTTATGTTGTTGTGTTGTAGATACCTGTAAGATTCAACAGAACATATGGGGTATAACAAAGTCTACTCATGGGGGCAAATATTGTCAAGTTACACGAGCCATATTCAGAGATTTAATATATTTACCAACCTGCAGTAGATAATACTTCTTTTGTAAAATGATCTGTCCCTAAATTCACCAGATTTATGAAAAAATATATAGTGCCATCGTGTAACTCCCCAGGATATGTAGTCAATGGTAATAAATGTTGACAACGATAACCCATATGTTGCTGTCAGGGTAGGGTTAAGGCTTGGGGTGGGAGTTGAAATTCAACTATTTTCTGCATAAAAGTACTAAAATCTAATGAATCAAAGTTTGTCATAGTAAGGAGACACACATGTCACAGTTGAGTTCCTTCAGTCTACCATGTTTGTAGAGTCAAATATGGATTCTGAGAAAACTGCATTTTTCTAGTGGGGGAGGGTCATAGGGAGGGGTGTACAGGACAAGAGGGTGGGAGGACAGGAGGGGGGGTTCCTGGGAAGATGTGTACTGTGAAACACAGAGAGAATTGAACACGATCGTCAAAGTGGAAAGCTCAATTACAGGTCAATATACCCGATTTCATTATATTGTAAAGGGAAATCAAGGTAGAAATATACAATAACGCAAAAAAATCCCAGGATCTGTACCAAGTTTCAAGACATTTTGAACGAGACAGATATAGATGTCTATGCTACTTGATAAGTGACAGACAGATGGCAGACATCAGCAAATACAAGCCATGAAATAGACCCACCTGACTTTCAGTCATGGGTGCTTTTAGGAAGAAAATATGACTTAGCATGATTGTTGCATAAATAACCAATATCTTCTGTTGAAGTTGTATTGAGCCACTCACAGTTCTTCTAGATGTTGTAGAGCATGTACGGTCTTGGCTATTCCTGAGTTACTCTCTAATTTGTTGGAGGAGAAATCACTATAATGAAAAACAATTATAAATAATACATTATACCATCTCTTGCTAGACAGTTGCTACTTCTGTCAAGCTTCTCAACTTGATGTTAGGACTAAAGCTATATGCTTCACTACTGTAACTTAGGCTTTGTTCAAATTGAAAACACACTCTCCAGGACATTTTGCTGTAATAGAAGAAGGGCATTTGCAACATTTTAGATTACACAAAAACAAACAATAAAATTATAAAAAAAATAATTTTAGATTACACACCCAAGAACAATGGGCTACTAATTGAAAACAGTTTGCATTGACAAGGAATCATGCTAATCATAAACTTAAGGAAACGCCAACGTGGCATTCTACAAATGGCCTTAGCACCAAGATGATCGTTACTCATACCAAAATTAACTTGTGGTAGTAGTAGTGCAAAGATGTATTCTATTCAAGAATTAATGCTAATATGGATTAACAATTTAAGAAATAATCATAAAATCTTATGGGCCAGAGTATCTTCACTGGTTATCTGTGAAGACAATCAAATAAACTTGGTCTGGTATTTGATGAGCTTAAACAATGTACTACCGTGCTACCTCACCTTCCCTTCAGCGAAAGAAGGGTATATCACTGAGATATCCTGCCAATCAAATTCAACTCATACGCTGGCTGCCACTAAACACACATCTGAGGTCAGAATGACCTTTCATCCAACCAATCACAGCGATGCTTACCAGATCGGGAATGGATAGTTGGAATATGTTTCCTAATCATGCAACTCGGAAAAGGTTAACACAAGGTATTACGCAGTATTGGGCTATGACTGATTCCTTCAGAATCATCATCCATCTCGCTTCAATGGGACAAACATTTCAAACATAAGACATTTTCCACTGACCATAGAAAGCACTGCCTTGCAGCTCTGTTCCTCTATTCAACATACCTGAATTTCTTAATTTAGAATCATAAGCTTCGTTAAAATATTTCTCACAGCAGAGTCTATAATGGAAGTTGGTAGTTTGGAACTAGTGCCTTAAAGCTCAAGAAAGCTGGTTGTGACTGGCTAATGTCGACTTCTAGCTAGTTCGTCATTTCATAGATCAGACAAAGTTGGCAGTGGTCATTATGACCTGTAGTAGGGTGTCTTCAGATCTCTGAGTAGTGGTAGCAAGCACTGAGACAAGATTTTAATGAGATTGGAGGGACATATCTATTACTTTTATTACAACATCTAAATGAATATACTGTTAAAAAACATGAGACAATGTGGGTACACAAATATACACGGAAAGAAACAATTTTTTGTGAATCTGTTAAAAGGTACTTGATGTTTAATGACTAATATTTCAATATAATTGAAAATGAACTTACATTATTTTCAGGTTAGAAAACCTATCATGGGTCAGGTCTAGCTGTGACAAGCGGTTTGCAGTAAAGTATCTGAAACAAAAATTGGAAATTGACAACAACCTGAACATATTGTACTTACATCTCTATAGCGAGCATTTGACTATAGACACACACCATACACTTTGACTCAAGTTTCAGGAAAACTGCCATTTTGTGGGATGCATACAGTTAAAAACTATATGGCTGTGCTGATTCATGTGAATGAACTGGCAATTACACACCTGGTTGATGAAAGGTTATGCAGTAAACATCAATAGATATGAATACACAGTGCCTTGAAGAAAGTGGTCAAATGTAACATGTTATAAGATTGTGGGTTCAAATTCTGAAAGGGACTTGACCGGTACTAGAAGTGGTATGTTAATAAGAAAATAAATATGCTGTATCACTGGACATCTTTTGGAACTGTAGATGTGTAGTTTGTTGACACTTGTGGAATCAACACACACAGGTATGACAACCCAAGGACGATACAGGTAGCACCTAGGCTGGTTACTCACAACAGCCACTGTGATAATGTGGAGGCTAACCAAGACAATTTTAAACATGAGCAAAATATGAGGTGTGTGACATGGATGATTGCTTAAAGGTATATGACAATGTTGATTGCTTACAGGTATGTGACAATGTTGATTGCTTACAGGTATGTGACAACGTTGATTACCTACAGGTATGTGACATTGTTGATAAATTACAGGTATGTGACACTGTTGATTGCTTACAGGTTTGTGAAATTTATTCATTACAGGCTCATGACTTATTATATTAATTACAGGTATGTGACATTGCTAATTAATTACATTTATGTGACATTGTTGAATACTTACAGGTATGTGACATTGTTGATTACTAACAGATATGTGACATTGTTGATTACTAACAGGTATGTGACATTGTTGATTACTAACAGGTATGTGACATTGTTGAATACTTACAGGTATGTGACATTGTTGGTTACTTACAGGTATGTGACATTGTTGATTACTAACAGGTATGTGACATTGTTGATTACTAACAGGTATGTGACACCGTTGATCACTAACAGGTATGTGAAATTGTTGAATACTTACAGGTATGTGACATTGTTGATTACTAACAGGTATATGACATTGTTTATAAATTACAGGTATGTGACACTGTTGATTGCTTACAGGGTTATGACATTAATTTAATACAGGCTTGTGACTTATAATATTAATTACAGGTATTTGACATTCTTTATTAATTACAGGTATGTGACATTACTAATTAATTACATTTATGTGACATTGTTGAATACTTACAGGTATGTGACATTGTTGGTTGCTTACAGGTATGTGACATTGCAGATTACAAACAGGTATGTGACTTTGTTGAATACTTACAGGTATGTGACATTGTTGATTACTAACAGGTATGTGACATTGTTGATTACTAACAGGTATGTGACATTGTTGATTACTAACAGGTATGTGACATTGTTGAATACTTACAGGTATGTGACATTGTTGGTTACTTACAGGTACCTGACATTGATTACTAACAGGTATGTGACATTGTTGAATACTTACAGGTATGTGACATTGTTGGTTACTTACAGGTATGTGACATTGTTGATTACTAACAGGTATGTGACATTGTTGATTACTAACAGGTATGTGACACCGTTGATCACTAACAGGTATGTGAAATTGTTGAATACTTACAGGTATGTGACATTGTTGATTACTAACAGGTATATGACATTGTTTATAAATTACAGGTATGTGACACTGTTGATTGCTTACAGGGTTATGACATTAATTTAATACAGGCTTGTGACTTATAATATTAATTACAGGTATTTGGCATTGTTTATTAATTACAGGTATGTGACATTACTAATTAATTACATTGATGTGACATTGTTGAATACTTACAGGTATGTGACATTGTTGGTTACTTACAGGTATGTGACATTGCTGATTACAAACAGGTTTGTGACTTTGTTGAATACTTACAGGTATGTGACATTGTTGGTTACTAACAGGTATGTGACATTGTTGATTACTAACAGGTATGTGACATTGTTGGTTACTTACAGGTATGTGACATTGCTGATTACTAACAGGTATGTGACATTGTTGGTTACTTACAGGTATGTGACATTGCTGATTACTAACAGGTATGTGACACTGTTGAATACTTACAGTAATGTGACATTGTTGGCTACTAACAGGTATGTGACATTGTTGGTTACTTACAGGTATGTGACACTGCTGATTACTAACAGGTATGTGACATTGTTGGTTACTTACAGGTATGTGACATTGCTGATTACTAACAGATATGTGACATTGTTGAATACTTACAGGTATGTGACATTGTTGGTTACTTACAGGAAGGAGACATTGATTACTTACAAGTATGTGACATTGCTGAATACTTACAAGTATGTGACATTGTTGAATACTTACAGGTATGTGACATTGCTGATTACTAACAGGTATGTGACATTGTTGATTACTAACAGGTATATGACATTGTTTATAAATTACAGGTATGTGACACTGTTGATTGCTTACAGGGTTATGACATTAATTTAATACAGGCTTGTGACTTATAATATTAATTACAGGTATTTGGCATTGTTTATTAATTACAGGTATGTGACATTACTAATTAATTACATTGATGTGACATTGTTGAATACTTACAGGTATGTGACATTGTTGGTTACTTACAGGTATGTGACATTGCTGATTACAAACAGGTTTGTGACTTTGTTGAATACTTACAGGTATGTGACATTGTTGATTACTAACAGGTATGTGACATTGTTGATTACTAACAGGTATGTGACATTGTTGGTTACTTACAGGTATGTGACATTGCTGATTACTAACAGGTATGTGACATTGTTGGTTACTTACAGGTATGTGACATTGCTGATTACTAACAGGTATGTGACACTGTTGAATACTTACAGTAATGTGACATTGTTGGCTACTAACAGGTATGTGACATTGTTGGTTACTAACAGGTATGTGACACTGCTGATTACTAACAGGTATGTGACATTGTTGGTTACTTACAGGTATGTGACATTGCTGATTACTAACAGATATGTGACATTGTTGAATACTTACAGGTATGTGACATTGTTGGTTACTTACAGGAAGGAGACATTGATTACTTACAAGTATGTGACATTGCTGAATACTTACAAGTATGTGACATTGTTGAATACTTACAGGTATGTGACATTGCTGATTACTAACAGGTATGTGACATTGTTTATTACCTACAGGTTTGTGATGTTGTTGATTACTTACAGACATGTGACATGGATGATTATTTACAGGTGAGTGACACAGCCGAATACTTGCCAGTATAGAACATTGTAGATTGTTTTGTTTGTTTGTTTGTTGATCAATGCCACACTATATGGAGATCTGTAAGTAATCAAGTATGGACCAGACAATCCAGTGATTAACATCATAAGCATCGATACTGGCAGTTGGGATACGAAAACATGTGTCAACCAAGTCAGTGAGCCTGATCACCCGATCCCATTTTTTACGACAAGCATGGGTTACTGAAGATCAATTCTAAACTGGGTCTTCATGGGTGGACAGTGTTGATTATTTAGAGGTGATTGACACTGTTGACCACTTGCTGGCATATGATACTGTTGATTACTTACAGGTGTATGACACTGTTGATTACTTACACATATATGATGTTGTTGATTACTTACAGGTGTAAGACACTGTTGATTACTTACACATATATGATATTGTTGATTACACATATATGATGTTGTTGATTACTTACAGGTGTATGACACTGTTGATTCCTTACACATATATGATATTGATGATTACTTACAGGTGTATGACACTGTTGATTACTTACACATATATGACACTGTTGATTACTTACAGGTGTATGACACTGTTGATTACTTACACATATATGATGTTGTTGATTACTTACAGGTGTATGACACTGTTGATTACTTACACATATATGATATTGATGATTACTTACAGGTGTATGACACTGTTGACACTGTTGATTACTTACTGTTGATTACATATATGATATCGACTGTTGATTACTTACAGGTGTATGACACTGTTGATTACTTACACATATATGATATTGATGATTACTTACAGGTGTATGACACTGTTGATTACTTGCACATATATGATGTTGATGATTACTTACAGGTGTATGACACTGTTGATTACTTACACATATATGTTGTTGATTACTTACAGGTGTATGATTCTGTTGATAACTGACAGGTGTACGACATTCTTCATTGCTTACAGATACAAGACATTGTTGATTATATACAGTGAGTGAGTGAGTGAGTGAGTGAGTTTAGTTTTATGCCTCACCAAGCAATATTCCAGTTATATGGTGGCGGTCTGTAAATAATTGAGTCTGGACCAGACAATCCAGTGATCAACAGCACGAGCATCGATCTATGTAATTAGAATATGGTAACATGTGTCAGCCAAGTCAGTGAGCCTGACCACCCGATCCCGTTAGCCGTCTCTTATGACAAGCATATGTTACTGGAGATCAATTCTAACCCGGATCTTCAAGGGTGAGTATTTACAGGTACATGATATTGCTGAAAGACCACGTATGTGTTGGATTTAGCTACATGTATGTAAAACTGTAAATATACTACAGGTAAGTGACAATTTCCAATACTTACAGGTATTTTACGCCACTAGGGAAGTACTTGGCATGAGGGAGTGTTTCGATCCTCTTGTTCTCACAATGCACTGTCGTCGATGAGCAGCTACATCCATATTCAGACTGGAGGTAGGGACACTCCCCCTTGACTCCCCCCACCAGCAGGCCACCCCCTTCCCCCACCACCAACAGTAGCCACAGCAGTCTGCTAAAGCCATGGCTGCCGTAGATGAGCGCGGTGGAGCGTGTCACCATACTCGACTGGTGGCCTGTGCCCAGTCCTGGTCCAGGTGAGACAGGTACGCAGCCGGACACAGGTGTTCCCTCATACTCGCTCTCCTGGGGCAGGTGTGTCAAACTCCCTCTCTAGCACCTGGGAAGGAAACATAACATTGTTTCAGCACAGTCAGATCATTAATGGCTACAGTTCTACTGTTCTAATTGTTCACAATAGTACCTGGAAAGGAAACACAACATTGTTTCAGCACAGTCAGATTATCAACAGGTATAGTTCTACTGTTCTAATTGTTCACAATAGTACCTGGAAAGGAAACACAACATTGTTTCAGCACAGTCAGATTATCAACAGGTATAGTTCTACTGTTCTAATTGTTCACAATAGTACCTGGAAAGGAAACACAACATTGTTTCAGCACAGTCAGATTATCAACAGGTATAGTTCTACTGTTCTAATTGTTCACAATAGTAGCAGGAAAGGAAACATTGTTTCAGCACAGTCAGATCAGGAATGGGCACAGTTCTACTGTTCTAATTCATGACAACACATACCCATGTACCAGAGACAGGCACAACCATATACGGGGGACATGATGTAATACATATCCTGCTATGTCAGGTGACATACAATTTGTTTTCCCAGGCAGAGCTTTCTTATCATAAGTTGATATTCTTTCTTTATGCAGGGGAATTACCACTCTTAATGATTTGTTTTTAGATTTCAGTTATCAAAGATGGGATAATGTAGGGCCAAGAATGTAGGTGAGAGGGCACTGAGATTGTTATGTTTTTTAGGCCAGCCTGGAAACACTAGTAGAAGATCTACAACAGCTGGTTTTTGAACAGTTTCTGTTATCATTCATGAGTTCTACACCAATATAACTTGTAATATATGTTATAAACTGCAATACATACATTGCAAATTGCTGTATAGCATCATGAAGTGTGATAGCTATATTCATATACCAGTATATCATACCCTGCATATCATATCAGTACGCATCCTTTTAGCGATCTCAACTCCCTTGGGAGTATACAACACAACCCTACCGTCAGGTAAGGTACTTATATGTATCACTTGTTTGTGCTATATCTCACACGGTTTATTAAAAGTTGATTTTAGGGATTTTGGCTGCAGGATATCAGTAGTGAAGAAATATCGGTCCCCAAGATCAGCTTGATGCACGAGTTATTCCATATGTTGTATGTGACATGGATGGAACATACCAGAACAAAGCGGGTGATTGACATGGGTCGAGGGAAGGGAGGATAGGGCAGGTGATTGACACAGGGGTCGAGGGTAGGGAGGATGGGGTGGGTGATTGACAGAGGAGTTGGGGGAAGGGAGGATGGGGAGGGTGATTGACACAGGGGTCAAGGGAAAGGAGGATGGGGAGGGTGATTGACACAGGGGTCGAGGGTAGGGAGGATGGGGTGGGTGATTGACAGAGGAGTCGGGGAAGGGAGGATTGGGAGGGTGATTGACACAGGGGTGAGGGAAAAGAGGATGGGGAGGGTGATTGACACAGGGGTCGAGGGTAGGGAGGATGGGGTGGGTGATTGACAGAGGAGTCGGGGAAGGGAGGATGGGGCGGGTGATTGACACAGTGGTCGAGGGTAGGGAGGATGGGGCGGGTGATTGACACAGTGGTGAGGGTTGGGAGGATGGGGTGGGTGATTGACAGAGGGGTCGAGGGAAAGGAGGATGGGAGGAGGGTGATTGACACAGGGGTCAAGGGAAGGGAGGATGGGGCGGGTGATTGACACAGGGGTCGAGGGAAGGGAGGATGTGGCGGATGATTGACACAGGGGTCGGAGGGAAGGGAGGATGGGGCAGGTGATTGACACAGTGGTCGAGGGTAGGGAGGATGGGGCGGGTGATTGACACAGTGGTCGGGGTAGGGATGGGGGGCGGGTGATTGACACAGTGGTCGAGGGTTGGGAGGATGGGGCGGTGATTGACACAGTGGTCGAGGGAAGGGAGGATGGGGAGGGTGATTGACACAGGGGTCGAGGGAAGGGAGGATGGGGTGGGTGATTGACACCGGGTCGGGTGATTGAAAAAGAGGGGTCGAGGGAAGGGGGGATGGGGAGGGCTATTGACACAGGGGTCGAGGGAAGGGAGGATGGGGAGGGTGATTGACACAGGGGTTGGAGGAAGGGAGGATGGGAGTACACTGTAGTGAGTGAATATCATATTGAATGTTTCAGCAATTACAACAGCAGGGTAGCATGAAAATAGACGTCACCCACTGCACCCCTGGAACTTCCCTGTCCCTGTTTACTAGGGCTGAGTATTGCACCAAATTTGTATTGCGATATATTGCAATACACGTAATCTGTATTGCAATATGTATTGCAATATATTGGACAAATGAGGACCCAAGACAATTTTGGCAAATTTGACAGTTTTCCCTTGATTTTTTTCAAGTTTCAATGCTTCAAAATGATTTTATCAAACATTATATTTTCTGCTTTCAGGTTCAATAAAATGACTACAAACACATCCTCAATAATCTCCAGGGTATACGTTACGACAAATCTCCACTATAAGCCCTTGATGCATCTAGAACTCGGCCCGATGATTTTGTTACCTCCTTTGGCTGGCTTTTTATCCAATCAGGTGTCTACACTGGGAAGCAGAGTGTAAATCACAACTCACTTTCCCTTCTCAAATTATCTAACCGATTAAACTTGGCAACACAATTGATGCAGAGGAACTCTGAAAGAGTTAGAAGGAGTTCTTATATATATTTTCATAAAGTTTCAGACCTGTCAATTTGTCTGCATGATTTCCCCCAAAATCTGCGAACAAACCTTCGCGGCTGCGACCGCTATCTTTGTTGACACTGGCAAGCTCGATTGTAACGGCGGCTTAGCTGATTGGCTACTGTGAGAATGCGGAGCCAGCAAAGGGAGGTAATAATACTATCGGGCCGAGTCACAGATGCATCCAGGATACTTGTGGAGATTTATCGGAACATATACCCTCGAGAATATCGAAGATGCTACAAACATAAATCATTGTAAAATGATTTATTAAAAATAAATAAACAAACATAAAGCACTTCTCAGTTCTCACTGGTCTGTTTTCTTTCCAGACACTTTGGCACATACAATCGGAAACAGCTCCTAAATTCACAGAATGAAAGTTCAAATGAGTACCATTTCTTAGAAATGAGTAAAATACTGACGAGTCCATAACTTGATTGTGATATAACATGACTTGACTTTTCAGTGAGAAATAATTCCAAATATCAGCTTTGCAAGTTTATTGTCGACAAGTAGAAATTCTTCCTCTGCAGACGAACTAGATGCCGCCATTTTGTTGCTATGTAGATACAAGGGCAGATAATTTGGTGAGGTAACTCTTTCATAACCAATATATTGCTTTAGTAAAAACGTATCCCTTATCGCAGGTTCGAAACAGGTACAAACCGGTATACCGGTAATACTGCTCAGCCCTACTGTGTACATTTATTTATACCTTAATACTCCCATGAAACGTTAAACTAAACAACTAAACACATTTGCACTGTAAATCATCACTGTTATATACAATACTTATCAACCCTGTTTGGTTGTCTGTTTCAAAACCCACCCCACCCATATCCCCTCCAATGACATAAGTTATATAAAATACACCCTACTCCCCCTTATAAAACATACACCCTGCAAATGCCTCCGTTGTTTGTTTTGCTTTGAATCTAGCACGACATTTCTATAAAAATTCTCACATAGGCACATAACCACCTGTACAAACTGATTTAACCATGAAATTATTTTCAAAATACAAGGCAAAATCCATTTGATTCTAATCTTATTTCTTCAAAACGTTAATCACAAATGACATATAAATTTGCCCAAACAATATTGTTTAGGTAAATGATCACAATTACAATATCTAAAAATCACTTTGATCATAAACAAAAACACACCTTAAACATTCTTTAACATAATTGTTCTTAATAAGGCCATTTACCATTTTAATAAACTGTTACATGAATGGTCAGGTGTTATCAAAGTGCATCAGATATCAGCAGTAATGACATAATATGCTTGTTTGTGTATACACTGCGTTGGTATTTAAGTTAATGACAAATCAATAAAAGCGAAGTATTGTATATAACACCCTCAAGTATGGGAAAATATAGCCAAGCTGGTTAACATTCCCTTCCTTATCAGTGATCTCCCTTAGTCTTTTCAATTATTCCCTGAAAATGTTATGCATTTTATGACAGGACAGTTGAGAAATAACAATAATAGTCATCTCTCTAAAATATATTCAAATCAGAAATGTATAATTTGTATATGAATTTTGTAAACATGTATCATCCATTGGCTACATAAATAATTCAACAGTGTATAAAAGACAATGACAGAATATGAGACTGGTAAATATTACAGCAGTATGGGTCAGTAGTGCCATGCTGGCTTGACCACTGTGTTAACTGACCACAGTACACGAAGGTACTGGCGTGATCTCACCTGACAGGTGTGGGACTTAATCTACCTAAGCTAAACGGATTAAGGGATAAAGAAAATACTAACTGCTTGTGAACAAGACAATCAAGATACTCACGTTAATACCATTAAGACCATACTGATTGTTTAGATGAGAGCATTTCCATAAACCTGCCCGAATATTTTGACAGATTTCCAATCGCTTTACCTGACATACTGTTCGATACCAAGCTATTCACCCACGTGACATGCCGCCATTGTTGGTCGGGTCGTTCAATGAAAACAACCTTGCCCTTTTCGTTGCCTAGTTACCGATGACGCTTGAGTCTTAAGTCAATAAAGGCTTTCTGCATGCACTGAACAGATACAGTGCAAATTATGCGACGTATAGAATGGACTTTTATTTGTAAGCAGTGATCAGCACAGTCGATAGTGAAAGCAATTCCGATTGATATAATGTAACGAGTGTATATTGTCAGGTGCTATGTAGGTTAAACCACCTCATAACGCCCGAGTT